TAGCGTACTCTGCAAGGTAACGAAACGACTTTTCGTTGTCACAAGCATACCAATTAGAGTACAAAAAGGTAATAGATAGAACCGAGGGAGAGTCCTATGCTAATAAGACAGGCCCTGCCTGTGTACCCTTTTGGCGATGCTTTGCCAATCAGTCATAGCGGCACCAGTGAGCCATCACAAGGACATTTCTTGCATAAGCGTGACAACGCACGCCTGCTCGTCCGGGAGAACTCCCTCGTTGTCGCGACAGAACCCGACCACGGCGATTCCCTCTTCTTCCCCTTGGCGCAGAGTGAACGCCAGGGATTCCCCCCCTGGTGCATCGACCTCCACCTGCCCAATACAATCATTCACCAGCAGAGTACAGGATGTCTTCAACGAACATGACTCATTGGAGATGTCTTGCTACAAGGTGGCGGTAGTGGCGGTAAATGTTTGAGTCTGCATCGAACGCCTGTAACATTGGTCGGAGGATATCGTTCAAACATGAGGCGTCCACGAATGTATACAACAAGCGTGCAGAGACGCGGGCGAACGGACGTGTTTCTGCTCAGATCCATGTTGGCGTGGTGGGTGGAGGAAACGACCAGTCCCGGTTCGGCCCGTCCCCGTACCTGTCGCTGTAGACCGAAACTTCGTATCGAGTGCAGACAACCGACTTCTCCACGGGTTTCGGACAGCTGTAAACAACATGTTTCCCAACACCGTCTTATTTGTTATCGGTACCTCCCCGTCCGCGAAATCAACTGGAGAGCTACATATGTGACGGTGCAGAAGGGTGACAGCGTGACAGCGGCGTCATGCAGGAAACTAACCTGAAGAACGGGGCGCTGGGGATCGTCTTCTCGATGAAAGCGACCGTCGGCAAACCTGCGAAAGAAGACCGCCATCAATTCCCATCAGCACCCTCGTTAGAATTCCGTGCGAAATCAGGGTGAGAGACCCTCGAACATTGTGGGCCCGCATTCGTATCTAACATCGCAATGTGTCGTGACCATGTTCTGTCTACGAAAAACCCACAACCATGTGGGTCGTGTGCTGGTACCTATTTCCGCCTTTGATTCTCACCTCGATTTCAACGCCATCGTAAGACTCGACAGACACGCTGGGATCTTCCCTTCGTCCCCTCCTGTGTGGAGTTCCTCGCAAAGCCGGCCCGCCGTCTTCTCAACATCAAACCCCTCCTTTTTTTGTGTATCGTTGTCTTCGGGCACCTCGACGTACAAAAATTTGGTGAGGTTTGGCCCCATCGCAACCGGCACCCCCATCAAAAGTCTCGATTGCGACGGTGCAGCTGCAGGGCGACCGATGCTTCTATTGCTATCTCCACCATCGGTTACCAATATCGTATTTCTTTCCGGCGGCGCAACATCACTCGTAGGATTGATGCCGCCGTCGTTGCCAATTTCAGGGTCTTCGCTGTACTGACTAGCTTGTTCTCCTTCGGACGTCCTCCGCCTTTCCCGGTCAGTGATGCGAGCTATGTCATCCTCTGTCAAAGAAGCTACCTGATTGGTCGGTCAGGTTTGCACGTGTGACAAGTCGCCGTCCGTCTGGTTCATAACTCGAGGGCCTTCCTATCGAGCGCGCACTGGTCCTGAAGTTGACAAATTAATACAGACTTGGAAGAAGACGAGCTACCTCTGGTGGCTCGATATCTTCATCCAGTCAGGCTTCTTCAGAACTCTTGGCCGCGCATAGGTGCCAACAGCGAAAGAGCGGGGCTAGATCTTGTGTTCCTTCTTACCTTGCCGCATGGACTGTTGACATGCCCTGCCTTGCCGTCGAAACCGTCGACACATTCCCCGCACTTGTTCGCCTCCAGCCAACAAGCGTCGCGATTCAGTCCAGGGCAGTCCACAGCGCACGCGATCTTCTCCAAGGCTAGCTCTGGGACGGGGGCGTGCGTTGAGACCGGCCGTAGCTCATGGACATCACCGAACAACCTGGCGCAGCCACCGTCCAGAACAATGCGTTTTGAGGGAGGGGGCAGAATCAAGACGAGGTGCAACTTTGCGACAGATTCGCTGGTTTCTGTTCCTGTAGGTGAGGCTCAGCATCCAAACAGTACGTTCACGACCACTAATTTGAAGCATGGAGGACCTGCTGCTGTTAAGCAAGATACCGGAACTGCGCAATGTTTTCGATGGGAACGGCGAAGAAAGACTAAGCTTCTGGTTGCCCTTCTAAAAGACAGTAGCAGAACGCACAGCCGAGCTGGGCACCAACGCGAACAAGCATTCCTCGTGTTGCAATCGCGGCCAGTACCTCGTCATCTTTAACGCATGGACGAAGTGGAAAATAATAGAGAAGCTGATATGTATGTTGGACCCGTTCTGAAATAAAACGTACCCGTTGGAGTTTGGCGTCTCCGTGAAGAGACAAACACTGTAGGCCTGGGCGGCCTGCAGTCCTTCCACACGAAACGCAACTTCCAAACCACTGCCTTCCAAGGATCTCGAAGCAGTAATCAAACTGGGATGCCCGTTGCTTCGAACTGCTGTGGCAGCTGCAGCCCCCGCTGGCGAGACCTCCACCGGCTTGTTTGTACCGTCCTCTTCAGCAGCTGAGAGCAACATGCCGGCTGTCGCCGTCGAAGGGATCACGCCGCTGGCGACGATACCAAGCGTTTCGTTCAGAGCGGATGGGTCCCTCCTCCCATCAACAGCTCCGTTACCGTTCCTAGACCCCCAACCATCGCCGGAACACGCTCCATCGCCGCCACTGCCACCCCTGGTAAGCACCTCCCCTCCTGCCGCTCCACCCCCGTCAGCCTGCCCATTGGACGCACGCTCATCACCGGTAGGAGTTGCTTTTGCGGTGTCTTCCACGAGTCCATCTTCGTCAGGCGTCGTTGGGATTGGAAACAAAGCGTAGTGCACTTCAGCCAGGGACGCAAGTGAAACCGCCACGACGAGAGCCGAAGACGATGCGTCGGCCGCATGGGCGCGAGCGTCCAGGAGAACCGGGGGCACCGGGTGGGTGGTAGCCAGGACCGGCTCGGACTTTGCATGGTAGACGCCGTTTGAGTTGGTGGTTTCCGTGGCTATGAATATCTTCATTGGTTCCGAGGTTCACACAGAGAGGCAACGAAACGGTTGCACCAGCGAAAACAGCGGCGTTAGAAGGCTTGGGGTGTGGGGTGTGCAAGTGCATGAGATCTCGTGACTAGTTAGTCGTGGATTTATTGTGTTCGCCCGTTGGAGGCCTACTGCTGACGATACCACGCAGAGCATCCCACCGCCGCCATAGGGAATCTTTGGCGTGCACGACAAGCAGTTCCGTTGTGATGTGCCTCCGCTTCTGGGAGAACAACAACGGCAGGACAGGGAAGGAACTCTCGCAGGGAGAGAAAAAAGGGAAGAATGGAATAGCGTCGAGACACGATTTCTTTCAATCCCGAAATTGCAGACATTCGATGTGACGTTTCGAGCAGCAAAACATGTTTGTAGCCCATCAAGGATGGCCAGTCGGTTTCTCTGCATCGCACCTCATACGTGGCATTTGGTTCGAGCCCCTCCACGGTCTCGAGCACACCGCCCGTTGCAACTCCCGCGTTAGCCGCGGCATCACCTCGGGGAAGTTGTTGTTGCGGCGCAGAAGAAGACGACGACGTCCCGTTAACTTCCCGCACCCCCCTGTACACGATAGTGTGGTCACGGCTCGCCACCGAGGTCAACCCGTCGGCTGCACGCCGAACGGCGAAGTGCACAAGACCCGAGGACTCGAGGGCAACCGCTAGGGATATGGCTTCGGCTGAGCGGTCCGCTGGCATCGCCGACACTTCCGTGATCTGAGACGAAATCATTTAATGAAAACGGTGGTCCTTGGTTGCACTGCTACTCGGCTTGATCGCCTATGCAATGTCAGGTTCTACCGTGCATTCCGTTGAGCACCTCACGGTGCTGTTTCTGGAGGATTACAGAAAAAAAAATCCCAAAGGGTCTTTGAAGCAAGCAATGGTATTTGGATTGAAAGGCCGTCTCTACTCTGAAATAAGAGTAGAATCAACTTCTTGAACCGACCATGTGTACTTTGCCGGATGCTCACTCACCAAGGGGGCCTCCGCATGAGCTTTCGCCTCCGAAACGGTAACCTTCGAAAGAGTGCCGCTGTTGCTTTCCGTGCAGAGCGAAACGACGTAGCGCCTCCTCGGATGGAGACCTCGAAACCGTAACTGTGACGCTGGTGATAGTTCGGCATGGCTGTAGCCATCGCCGTATTCATTCTTCCGGCTTCTCTGGATACTGCCGCTGCCGCTTTTGGCAGAAATCGACAGTGAGCCGACTGCTACAACTCCAGCCCCTTCCTTTGCGGACTTGACAGCTTCCGCAGAGTTAGCCAGGCTTTCCTGCAGTAGCAGCGATTTAGCATTTTCAAAGACAAGGGCATCATGCCGTGGTTGACAGCAGGCAAGCACAATGGAGCCTTGACATTAATTTTCGGCACGTTGAGAAGTTCACTCCCCGGTTCGTGCTTACGTGAGGTACGTTGTAAAGTCATGTAATGCCGTTGCCGATCCCTTGTTCGAGAGCTTGTGACAAACACAAACGTATGCGTGGCGAGTGTATCCTCGTTGCTGCTAGGCCAGCCCGTGGTGCATCTCGCTCCCGTTCGGGGTTCCGGTAGAGCACAACGATAGACTGTGTAGATATTCTTTTCTGTTGTGTTACCTTCCCGCCCTTATCAGCAGCTTCCGCTTCGCAGAGCGCGTAGTACATCCTCCCGGCAGTCTGCAGTACCTCGTACTCCAGCAGCAACTCAGTGGTGGTTGCATCCGGGGGGGCTAGCCTCACCCATGACAAAAGCGGGGGAACTGCTTCGATCACCCTCGCCTGAGCCTCCCCGTACACAGAGCTTTGGCGTCCGACTTATGTTGATTCTGTGTGCGCCGTAACTTCGAAAGCTGAGCCAGCGGACAGGTCGTGTATTTCCTATTCCTTTCGGGTTTTAGGAGTTTCGGGGGGGGGGGGGGGG